CAGTCTGTCGGTCGGTCGGTCGGTCGGTCGGTCGGTGGTAAGTAGACAGGTAGTGAGGTAGAACTATTTCTGTACATACACACATACCGTCACACACCCACACATACGAGTAGCATCTGCTACTGCACCTCGCGCGGATGCATGCACGCGTGGGTGTTTGTTTAACCTTATTGTATAACATATAATATATATATATATATATATGCATATATACACGTAACACACGCACACAAACACACCTGTATCTATATACAGGTATATATGTATGGGCGCACAAAGTAGCATACATATGTGTACCCAACTATTTCCTACTGTTACGATGGAAATCAGTCCCGGAGCAGACAAGGTTTCGGGGCTTCTCTGCCACGGATCCGCCGTCTTTTTATGATGAGTTTCCTGTTCACAGGAAGTTCCTGCATGCTGGATGGAGACAGACTCCGCCACAAGACCTGTTGAAGGAATTAACCCCTTGAAGAGAAACCATCCTCTTGCAAACCCGCTAGGCTAGAATGGTGTCCTCGCCAGCAACGTCAGGTTGCTGGGCTTCCAAGCTCGTGCCCTGCGATCAGTCACTGCTGGGATTTAGTGAGTTTCAGGACTTCGACACTCGTTGCCTGCAGCCGATTGACAGAATTGAGGATGCAAACTGCGCGGTGACATGGGCTTGGGGTCTCTGAGGTGGGAAGGCTACGAAAGCCACAGCGCGCTGTAAATACTCACATGCAGAGAGGAAGGGTACGGGGCTCTACTCACTGGATGATGCTCGCCCGTCATCGCTCACGGACACCGACCAAGCAACTGAAATCTTACCCACGATAACCACCGACCGGTCTCGAGACCCAGGCATCTTTGCACCGTCAACCTATTGGAACGATGACGTCACTAAAACTTGGAACGAGGTTAAACTGCTTGCAAGCTAGTTGAGCTTGCTTCACAATCATCCATGGGGCACAGGCCTCGCCGAGAGACTCGCCGGCATCGAGTTGCCGAGCATCCGGGCTAGAGCCCTGGAGTGTGAAGGGCTTCTTAACATCGCGGGGAGAGAGGCTATCTTCCTATTGATATTGCTTTCCTCAGTCTAGGGATCCTGCGACACAGGGGGACGAGCGCCGGGGTGACTATAGACAAAAGACTCTATACTAGAGAATGTCTTAGTTTCTCGACGTTCCAAGACCGTTTCAAGCCAGATAATTCGGGTCTGCTTCTGGCAAAGGAAGTCATCTTATTGGATCCCCCATTTGGTCAGATTCCATCTGAATGCTGTTCTCGACAACACACCTGAACCAGAGTCAAAAAGCATCCACGAAACTGCCCCCAACCTCCCTAAGCACTCTTTGGGATTGCACAAAGTGCACAAAACTTTTCCTGCTTTCGCAGTGTCACAGGCCAATTCTGCAAGTGTGGGATTTTGCATCCAGCGCACTCGGCTTTGGACATCTGTGCACCTGCCCTCATCGATCCTACGCACGGGCAGGATCGAGCAACCGTGCAGTAGCTATACACTATACACATGCAGTAGCTGTAAGGAAGCGAATTATTGCTTGCACTCTGCAACTCATCTCAGCGGAATCGACCACTTCCTGCTGCCAGGCCATGGAGGCTGGTACCATTGGCTCCACCGTTATATAGACTGCTGCCGAGAGCCCCTCCGGGCGGTGGCATGCTCGTTGCAGGCTGATGCCCGCCTGGTCCACCCTGGAAAAGTGATGTCCTGGCCTGTGCCGCTCCTCCACCTTGCAGGCCTCCATGGCCACTGTGCATCTGTGGCTGAGGCCTCTGCATATGCATTGCTGGGTGCGGGTGGTAAGTTTGCGCATTGATTCCCAGCTGGCCAGGCTGCTGCAAGCGAGACATCATTTGTGCCGGCATGGTCCCTCCGCGGGATGTATATCCTGGATTCACCGATCCTTCGAGATTATGCTGAAGCCTTGACGCTGCAGTGGGCGTCTGTGCTTGATGTGAGCCGACAAACTGAGCCATGTGCGTCGGCACGACCTGCTGCGCGTGCGTGGCAGGCAACATCGTCATTGGCATCGACGGCACGGGGGAGCTGTGGTTGGCCTGCCCTGAGGCACTGGACTTGACCAACTTTCCAGTGACACGCAAGTGCACATGGGCGACCTCAATGGTGTGGTAAGCAATCTCGTTGGCGGACTCGATTTTCGCAATGCCACGTGCCCTGATACCGTCCTGTTTGTCCCAGTGTCCCAGAGAGCCAAAGACGCGGATGTAGTCCCCAGTCTGTAGTTCTGGACCAGATGCAGAATCGCTGTCGGGGTAAACGTTGCAGCGAATGCTGCCTGTGCCATCGTTTAGAGTCACACAGATGCCGATCTCCTGAACTTGGATGTCCTCTACGCAGGCCACGACCGTCAACAGCTGGAGCTCCCTGCCTCCTACTCGGAATGGGCAGTCCGGGCCCTGCTGGCCACTGGAACTCGCAGCATCCAGCAGCATACGAATCGTGACAGGCGTTAATGTCTGTGATGTGGTCCTGCCGGACACTGCATTTGGCTGCATGGCTGACCCAGTGTTGCCATCTTCAGGGATGAAGCCACCATGGCCCTGTGATGCCTGCACACCGCCGCACGGCCCAGCCTCGCCAGCAGGTTCTACCCCGCCGTGGCCGCTTTGTGCACCGAAGTAGCTGTCGCCAAACATGTTCCGAAAACCACTGTCGAAACAAACAACTGAATTCAACATCTTGCTGTAATGACAGAAGCAGCCGCGATGCATGGTGTTCTTGAGATCACTGCTTACTTCTTACAACGGGAAACACGTTGGACACTCTTCCCAAGCAGACTCGTGAACCAAAATGGCTGAAAGTTGGGTTTGAGGCTGGAAGCTCTGGAGACTTCGGAAGCACCCAACTAGACAGCCAGGCATTGTATGGCATTGTCTCTTCGAGTCTGCCGCGTAACGGCCTTACAGCAACTGTGTTTCTTAAGCCCAGGCTGTGTGCTCATAGCGACAACTATACCGTACCCTCAACCCTGCCTAAACCCTAAAGTGCATTTGCAGCAGGATCTGGCCCGGGTCGTACCTTTCTCGGATAGTGACGGCACGTTGAAGTCATCCGACAACAGCCACCATGTTTACATCGACCGCTGCTACCCCGAATACCACCGCGACTCCGCGATAGCGACAACAAAGACGACGACGATCCCATCAGCTACAAAAGTCTCGATCCGCGCAGCGCCTCATCTTCTCGGAAGCCGCTGTCACCTTCGGAGGGTGCCTCAGAGGCCTGCGACCAGAAACCCTCCAGCAAAGACCCGGAGCTGAACCTAATTACTAGCCCCAGGGTGTTCAGGAGTCTGTCTTCACAAGCATCGAGGAAAAGGGCACCGCCGATACTGCTTTATATACAGTTAGATTTTTCTATATTCTTTTTTACAACACAATCTATATACGATTTAAATAGATTGTGTTGTATTTTTATTGTCATTTGTTGTATTTACACCACTCACACATACATATACATACATATGTATATATATATATATATGTATATGTAAACATATGTATATATATATATATGTATATATATATATATGTATATACATGTGTGTGCATATTATATATACACATGGTTGATAAGCACTTGACATGTAGCGGTCAAGATGATACTCAGTTTCGTTGCGATTCTACGAGTATTCTACTCGGTTGCTTCGTTTCCTACCACGCTTTCATGACGGGTTTCAAACCTCTTCAAAGCCATGAAAAACACATTATCACACCCCTTACAGTTACAGTATACCCTGTTCTGATTCAGAGCCCTGTAGCTTGAAGCGACCATCACTTGGTCCGGACTCCCAAGAAAGCAACTGCCCGGTGGACGGCCTTCCTCCTGGTCACTGACACCGCCCCGGTTGAGCGCCTGGCTTCTTGATGCTTCTTGGCTCTGGAAATGTTGCTGTGATGTTTAGGATTTTGGGGAACCGCTGTCGTCGTCGGTGCTGACTATATTTGTCGCTGCTGTTGCTGTAGTTGTCCGTCTGTATCTGTCCCACGGATGTTTGGAAACCTGGGCCACGGTAGCCCAACCCAGAGCTCACACCCATGGAAGTAATCCCTTTCAGCTCTTCTCCACTCGAGTCGTGAGGGTTTGAAGGTGTATCAGGCCTGCCACCGCCTTCACAATACGGGTGGGGGGTTGAGAACTTGCTCCAAGTAGTTGGCGTTCATTCACTTCCATTCAAGAAATCAGACCAGGAAATGCAGGAGGCCCATGTATTGCAGGCTTGCATGTTGGGCTTTATAGGTGCTGGGGTTATCATGCTGGTGATACATTGGGATGCTCCTCTTACCCCTTGCCGAAAGACTCCGAAACACAAATTGGACTTCCCCTCTACGTGCTCTGACCGATCTCCTACAGCTGGCTGCAGAAACGACACGATGACATCGCCACGAGCCTACACCACACAACCCCAAACTGTTAATCCTGGCCTTAACCCTACACCCAAATCCGAAATGCTGACTCCAACTCGCAACTTGCACAACTCGTGCGCAGCCTCCTTGCCCAGACTGCGGCACAAGCTGTGGCTGCTGCTGCAAGCGCTGACGAAGCACCTCGACAGCTGGCGCCATGCACAATGCCTAGGAGATCCTG